CATTGCCCTCGTCATCTCCCAGCATCTATAGCTGTTGTGTTAGGCAAGTATATCCTTATGCAGCCCTTTTAGAATTGGTTGGGTTTTTTTGGGTTTTTTTGTGTTTTGTTTTGGGTTTTTTTTGTGGACTGTTGTAGCATTTTCTTTAATCCATACACTTTAAAAGTCTTTTAAAGTGATGTCTCACTAGCTTCATTGAGCTCCTCCTATTCCTACTGTTACAGGACCTGGTGAACACAGTTCTACCTTCACCTTGGCCTTCATAGAGTAAACCTCCCAGCGTGAATTCCCTGGGAACCTACCAGGCACACCTCCACCCTGAAAAATGACCACTAAGTCCTACCTTTTACTTCTTATCCTTTAACCTGCTAATGATTAATAAAAGGACTTTTCTTCTATCACAAGGGCAACTTAGTTTCTGTAGTAACCTTTGGTGTGGAACCTTATCAGTATCTGTTTGACCACTCTGATATCTTATATTCAAAGTATTTTTCCATGTGTTTACTGACACTCATATGGTACTCTAGGAGGTTAATGAGGGAGGATTTTCTTTTACAGGAGTCATATTAACTCCTCTCCAACAGACTCTGATTATACAATATCTTTCAGTATTCTTATTGTTATTATAGACAGGTCTGCAGTTCCCAGGATTCCCCCCAGAGCCCTTCTGACAGTGAAATTACACTGGTAACTTGACAGTCCTGTGGCCTTGTAACAGAATGTCCCTGTTACTTTTGTCAGAAAGACGTCCTACCAGTTTCCTTCTCAGTGTCCTGATTTTGATGTATTTAAAGAACCTTTAACTACCAGTTTGATCATCCTCTTCACGGCATTCTTCAAATTCTTTCTTTCAGCCTTCTAAACTTTCTGCATATGTTTGACCTGCCACATTTCATGCCTTTTCTGCTCACCTCATTTGGCCAAACTTTCCATCTTTCAAGTGCCATACTCTTCCCTGTGACAGTCCCTGTAGTTTTCCCGTTGAGCCATGCAGGGGTTTTTGTGATCACATTTCCTTTTTTGGGTCATAATACATATTTTATCTGGGTCTATAATACCCTTTTTCAGGCAACACTCAGGATAGTTGTAGGTGTTTTGCTTCTCAGTTTTCTTCTAAACCTGTTATCTCATTTTTACTTTTTTTTTGGTTTACATAAAACTGGATTTGAAAACATTTTACATAAAATTCTATCTGAAATCAAAGATCAATATGTGGTATTATGACAGATGAAGCTGTCTCAGACAATGGTCCAAGATCAATTATATCAAAAACAGTCAAGAAAAAAATGAAGGGGTTAGTTGCTCAAGTGAGTAACCTGTTAACGCAGATCAGTTATCTCATGGAAGAGACATTTTAAGTGAGTAAAAGTCAACAGAACTGGTCCATTGATGAATTTTCCATTTCATATTAACATGAGTGACTTCACTAACAAGGGGCACTTTTAGAGCCTGTATACATATGGAGAGCCCCACTGGTCTTATAGAAAATGCTGGTAGGTGAAGAGATTGTCACCAATGTACGTGAGGAACTACAGAGCATTTGGGGTTCTGAGGCAGGCAGCAACCTCCAGTTCAGCCTGTGCACCATAACACCTTAACTGAGGCTGGTGGGATGAGTGCATGAGATGTTCTACTGGAAGGATCAACAGCATACGTCACACACATTTATTTAAAGAAAAAACAACAAACGTTAATGACTGCAAGAGAACTCGTTTGTTGCCTTTTTTTCTTAAGATTATATCTGGACTAGACACTTGTGAAAGGAACAGGTTTCTACACCAAGGACTGTGCAGGAATCTGCAGCCAGGGAGCTGTGGGACTCAGTAAATCATTCTCTGAACAGTATTGCCCACTTCTGCACACCAAAGAATTCATGGTCCAACTTCATGAGTACTATTTCCAACTTCCATCCATAATTTTGTTTCTTTGGAGTTAGAAACTGAGCATTTGACAACCTATTAGGAGAGCAAAGTTGTTCATCTCTTGCAGCTGTTGGCTCTGCTGAGGGTAAGCCAGTAACTCATAACTACTAGCACAGTAGACAGGGAGCACCTTTCGCTACCTACCTAAGTACTCTGCAAGGGGACAGGAGTTGTACTGAACTCATTGGGAGAATCTCTAGCTTTAATATAATAGCAGGTAATAAGCACAGAAAGTTGTTTTTTTTTTTTTTTTCTGAGAAATGCAGGGTTTGTGCTTTAGACAGATGAGAAGTAATGTGTGTTTTTTATGGTTTAAGAAGCAGCTGGGCCTTTTTCATTCCTGTTTGCATATATCTTGTTGGCTGAGCCCTTTGTTAAAATCTTAGCCTGAAACAGATTTCTAAAGTAGAGTTAAAATGCAAAAGTCCTTAGTAAACTACATCTACAAGGGAAAAGCCAATGCAATATCAAATTATAATGTCAGGAGTAACTCCAATATATTCTTAATAAGCCTCTTTAAAGTACTTAAACTGGCAAAAAATAGTTGCAAAAGGAAGCACAAAACCATCTTATTTCTATTTAGTCTTAGATAATTTTCCTTCCATCGATATTCTAACAAAAAAAAAAAAAAAGTTCAGCTTCCAATTCCTTATTTCTGTAAATGTTTTTAACAAATAGACACTTACCTGTTGCAACATGACGTCCCATTCCAAAAACGGCATAAATAATGACAGGGAAGAAAGAGCCATATAAACCAAAAACCGGATGGACTGAAGACAGAACCGCAAAAGCCAGGCCTGAAAGTTAAATGGAATTACTTCACTATACAAAGATAAAACTGTTCTGCATTCAATTCTTTTTTTATGAGGAAACACCTATGGTTTTATTAGGAGGAGGAAAAAACCCACCTTCATTTACAAAAGCCTAGGGCATAAGCCAACTACTATATAATGAGAATCAGGAAGAACTATGGAAGGTTTTCATCTATTGTCTGTCATCAAAATCCTCACACTTTCTTCTGAGTCTTGGTCACCAGCCGAAACAAATGAAACACAGATACCTTCCATGGCACAAGCTACCATGTTTCCAGGTTGTTTCCATCAGTGGTTCCAAGATTTTTTTTTAATAGACAATCCTCACAGGAGGAGGCAGCACCATTTCACCCCCACCCTCACAGGCACAGGTTTGAGACTGCCAGGGCTCCGGGCAGTCAGATGGTTATTTCTTATAGACAGTTCAAAACCTATAATTTTGGTTTGGATGGAGCCCCTTCAGTCTGCTTTCTTCTAATTTCTTAAAAAAAAAAAAAAAATTCCAAAGTTCATTGGCTTTAGGTGCCTGGGTTTTTGAATACTTTAGGTGTTTTGGGGGGTTTTTTTGGGGTTTGTTTTTTTTTTTTGCTGTTGTTACATAAAGCTGTTGGTCCAGAAATAGAAAATATCGGTTAGGATTTAACTTCACAAACTTCCTAGTTACCTTCATGGCTTAGCTTTAGAGGACAGCATCCATCTTTTTCTTAGAAAGTCTCAGAATATGCCAAGAAATCATCTTCTAACAGAGAAATTCCTGCAAAGCAGCAGCTTTAGCTGTTGTTCAACTTTAGATACCTAAGATAGCAAGCAAGTCTGCATTGCCTTATTTCAAGTAGCAGGGAGAGACTCAGACTATGCTTCGGACCACGAGCCTCTGTTGCCATTTCACGGTTTTTTCTCCCCAAAACTAAGAGTAGGAGAAATTGCCCAGGAGCGTTCCTCCGTAAATCTTAGTGAATATCTTGTTATGCAGTAGGGAAGACAGGACTGGCTCGTGTAACACACCAGGTGCCTTTCTGAAGTCCACCTTCAACCTGAGGGACCAGTCTAAGCTAGTGTATATGTGTGTGTCGTGAGAATGACCACACATGGTCTGCGACAGAGGTGATTCAGATCTAGGAAATGGAGTTGCCTTCTGTGTTCATTTGAAAATTAAATGTGTAGGATTCATTGTTCTCATCAAACTTTCCTGAGCACTCCAGAAAGTGTTTTTTACCTGAAGCACTGCTGTATGGCGTTTTTATCATATGGAAAGTGCCAAAGAGTATTTTTGCTTATAGGTTTTCAGTGGCACTTGAGAACATTTTGATACAAGAGCTCTCTTCTTGAATTTGGATTTGAGTCAGTGATGAAGAGCACATGGTGGGGAAGGCAATAAAATGCCAAAAGGCCAGAAAAGTGAAGTTCCCAGTGAAGAAGACAAGGCCTGGCAGTTCACCTGTTCTCGGAAAAACATCACAGTGAAGATTCTGTTGAGATGGATTTTACACAGGTCATCTTCCTCCACACTGCGCTCAGCAAAGAAGCGCCATCAGTTAGGACTTGGAGAGGAGAGGAGATAGTTTAAAATGTGTCTGTTTGAAAACTTTGATGTCTTTGTTTAAACAGAAATGGATTTAATTGATCTTTTGCCTTTTAAATAGAATATGTACTGAATATCTTTTCTGGTTTTTTCTCTTCTTTAGCACACCATTACAATGAACCAGGAAGATCTTTGAAAGGAAATTACAGTTCTACATTCATGTTCACACGATCAATAGATGTAAAAGAAGATTCTGACCCAAGAACAACACAAAAGGGTGTGCCTGAGGAGAACAAAAACAGCACAGGAGAGAACTGCATGACCCTATCCAGACAAAAGTGAGCGGGGGAGGCGTGTGTAGAGGGAAAAGGAGAATAAGATTTTTAAGGCTTGTTCAATGCAGAAAAGCTGTTCCATTATAACTACCTTATTAATAAAAACAAAAACCATACAAACACTTCATAATTATCTACCTAGTACAATATGACTCACTTATATATTCCAATTTTACAAAAAAAAAATTATGCAAGGCTAATTTGTATTCCTCACCAGAAATTAAAGGAACCACCAAAACCAGTAAAACTTCATCCAGAATTTAGTTATAACAACATAATTTAAATGAAATGGCCTTCCTAAGTGGATAAGCATAAGGGAAATATACAAGATTCTGAATACTGAGCCACTGACTTTACAAGCCACTATTGGGAAAAGATCTATAAATCCTGGTTATGATGATCTGAAAAATTCTATATGTTTAAGTATGTTTAAGATACTCACTAAATGAAAGGAATTCTCCAACACTAAACCAGAGAATTACAAATACAGAACATTTTCATCTGAAAGCATTCCCATTTCCAAAAACTCCTATTCACACACTGCATAGGGAAATCACCTTGGTTAGCTCCTTTGCATGCTCTCCTCCTTGCGTTTTCTTTTAAAATGTTTGAACTCCATCAGTTATTACAAGGGAAATACAAAAAAACCCCTCCCTCTTCACTAGGAAAGGTTAAGAATTTTGAAAGATATGTTTTAAAATATCAAGTTCATTTTGCAGAAAACATGTTATGTTCACATAATTTTTAAGTTCGCATTTGCATTGTGTTAATTTTGGACCTTGAAGTTTTCCTTATAAAATCTGTACCATTCATTTTTAATAGGTTTTCACCCTAAGTGGCTTTATCACTCAGTTCAAGAGAAGGTTAGCTTAGAAACTGTACAAAACAAAACTGCACAAAACAAAACTGCAGGGTGAAGTAACACACCACAGGCTAAGCTAAAATTTTTCAAGAATAGGGACCACTAGCTCTTTTACTATTCAACATTTCCAATAAATCCAGGATTAAGAACAGTATATATAGTTGTTTCCTCTTAACATTTACAAAGAAAACAAGGATTCAGCTACCACAAAATCTTCTGTCACCATCTGTCTGTAAAAGCCAGTTCTCCTTTCTCTACATGCGTTTATTTTGGTTTATGTTTCCTAAGACTTTCTGAATCTGAAATATGGGCAGACTATGTTTGATCCACCATAAACTGCACATGTTGTGGGTAGAGCCCAAATGGCTCAATCCAGCCCTAGATCACGCACACAGAAAATGTGTCAACATCTCAGTTCATCTCTGAACAGGGCTGAGGGGAACAGAGAGACACAACCTGAATGAACCCTTACAGCCAGAAGTAGCTGACAGAAATCTCGTATGAGTCCTGTAAAACTGTGGAAAAGGGGCTACCTTGCCCAGCAAGCCCCCAGCATCCAACGTGAATTTTGCTTTACTCACAGACTTGGCACAGAGAAATATCTCTTGGAGATAATCTAAATATAAATCTGGCCCTTGTTTTTTTTCCCTTTGACACACAGACCTTCACAGTCTTTTTGTAAATATGTTCCTAGAAGCCATGTCTCATACTTTTCATGGTGGGGTCATGGCACTCAGAGCTAAAATGACTAGCCTTTGACTCTAGTCCTGGCTCTGCTTCTTAGTATTTTGCTTCCATTACTGCAGCATGTCAATTGTGAGCAGCGGGGCATATTAAAACAGAGTTAGGAAAGACTTCAGGCTTTCTGATTAGGCATAAAATTTTCAAAGGTTCAAATATCTTTAAAGGTATAATCTGTAGTATATTTCAGCTCACTTCATTAATTTTCATAATAAACTTTGCCACAATGCATTCCATATGCTCAAGAACTAGTCAAAATACAGGAAATATTATTTTATTTTTTTCATTCCAAACTGTAATAATACTTAAAAGGAATAGATCATAAAATAAGGATCACACATAACCTTCACTGGTAATATGGAGAAGCATCCATGGCAGTGACATGAAGGTTTTCAAATAAGAATATAAATTCCATGGGAAGAAATGCAAACAAAGAATGAATAGTCAGTTCAGATACAGTACATTAATACTGTGGCTCTTTGTTTTAACTACCTCCTTATCATAAGGTAACATTGTGTGACATAATTGCACTGAAAACCACACTCTCTGACTAGCACCAGCTGTATAACAATCCTCTGGCACATTGCACTGAAAAGCACTGTTGGCAAATGTCAAATGCAGATATCTACAAAACACAAGCTTGATACGAATAGAAGCAAGGCCGTGTCCTACCACAGGAGAAAGGTCTGTTTGTTAAGTTGATAGTTTCTGCTAGTTAGGCTACTGTCAAAACTACAGCAACAAAAAATATTTTCCATAGAAAGAGCTATGAATCATCAGAGTATTGTCAACTATTTAACAATTTTCTGCATCTGGAAATAAGCTCATGATACATACATATGTTCTGAGGAAAGCTGTAACATTTCTTTTGGAAATATGATACGCAAACCAAAAATTCAAATGAAGAAGCAGGAAAAGCTGTAAGTCTATAATTAATTTGAGGAGTTTCAAAATTTTAATTCAAAATTTCAAAATAATTTACTATTTACTGTGAAAAGCTATAAATTTGAAAGTTTTTCTGGTAGTGTATATATTCAAATAACTTTTTTGTTATTGTAACCTTTTATTCTTGAATGTGACACTGTTAACATGGTCAGACTCCAAGTTTAGGAAATCCAAAATGACATTTAGACATTCCACTCAAAATGCTATCTGCAGTTGTGGTCAATCTCTGATGCTTCAGAAAAAGACCATATTGTTCACAAAGCTGGATTATGTTGTAAGAAAGGTATTTTGTGTAGATGTCCTAAAATGTAGAATTAATACATATGAGTGTATATATACATAATGAGTGTCTTATCAATGCCTTATGGAGACCCAACAAATCAGACATCCAATGGTTCATATCATATGCTTTAATTTCTAACTCCAGGATAGCTAACTTCTACTGAGGAAAAAAAAAAAAAAAGACACCACAGAAAACATTTCTAATATTATATTTTGTAACAATTTTCTTATACAAACCTACAATTCTGGAAGATTCTTTGACACTGGCTTGGTAAAAGCTATTAACACAAAACAGTCC